GGGGGGGGGCAGATAACATGTAATGGGGGTGGGGCAGATAGCATGTTTTGGTGGATGAAGAGATAGAATGTATTAGTGGAGTGGGGGCACATAGCATGTATTGGGGAGGAGGTGCAGAAAGCATGTATTGGGAGTGGGGAATATAGCATGTATTGGGGTGGGGGTCAGATAGCATGTATTGGGGGGATGAACAGATAGCATATATTGGGGGAGGTTGGGGTAGATAGCATTTATGGAGGGCAGATAGCATGTATTGGGGGAGTGGCAGCAAATAGCATGTATTGGGGTGGTGCAAATGGCATTTTTCGGGGAAGGGGGAAAAAGAACATGTATTGGGGGTGGAGCAGATAGCATGGGATCTTTCTCAGTTAGGCCTCGGGGCTGAATGAGAAATATTTTACAGTGTATGGGCAGGTTAAGGGTTGTCTTCTGTTTTCAGGAAGCTATGTACAGCACCCTGCCAGCCCCTCCCACCAGCCATGACCTGCCTGCATTGCGCAGAGAAGCAGGGAGACCCAGTGATAGCATCACTGTGTTTAAAATAAATTATATATTTAAAATAGAAAGCACCATTTTTAATATTTTATTATAATACTGTCTATCTAAAAAAAGCATCACTGGGTAATAAGTCTGATGATTTTTTTTGCTTAATTAAAAAAAATGAAATCCTGTTAATACATTTCACCCTAAAATCATTTCCATTTGATTTCAGGAAGCATTAAACAACCATTAAAGTGTGGCAAGTACAAGCGGTACAGCCCTTCATCACTGAAAGCCATGGTGCGTTCATGCCCAACCCCACTACCGAAAGCAGCCATTATGGTTTGAAATATTCCATATGTTCATGGCTGTTAAGAGGCATGATGATGTCATCCATTTTTATTTTTTTTTGAGAATGTACACAGTACATAGTTAATTAGATTGAAAAAAAAGACACATGCCCCGTTGAGTTCAACCAAAAGACAAAAATAAAATAAAAACCTACATCCCTTGAACCCTAAACCCGTAGCTGATCCAGAGGAAGGTAAAAAAAATTCCTTCCTTGTCCCCAAGAGCAAGGGGTGGCCGTGGTTTTTTTTTTTTTTAAATTTTATATCACCGGTTTAGACAACGCCGAGTCCTTATTTAACATTGATTATTTCAATTGTCATATATTAATACTGATTACTTGTAATTAATTCCACAACTCTTACTTGGTATCGGAATTACAAACTCCTTGTCTTGATAGCAGCACTCCCAGAATGTATTGCTCCCTGCTTTTTTTTTCCTTCCATGATACACTGTAGCAGTTCGAGAGAACGCTCTCTTCTAGAAACTGAA